GTGCCGGTGCCGCAAGGCAGAGGATTAGCCTATTGAGCTGGCGCCGGCCACAATGGCTTTCTTGAGATAAACTCTACGGTACCTTCTGCAAACATGGCTTAGAGTACCCTCTCCGTGGTCTGATTCTTTTCTTTCCTGTCCAGCTTCATCTTGTGGCTCCTTCTTCACCAGTCAGCTGTCTGCCATGAGGCCTTACACACAGTTTCACCAGTTCATTCATTTAGCAATACTGCACTGACTTCCTGCTGTGTGGTAAGGCTACCAAAATTTACAAAACAGAAGAAATACAGAGGGCTTATATTCTAGTGAGGGAATACGCAACTAAAATATATAGTTTTTCAATGAAAAGAATACATATGTCTGGGGCTGGCTCTGTGGCGCAGTAGGTTAATCCTCCGCCTGTGGCCCTGGCATCCCGTATGGGCGCCAGTTCTAGTCCCAGCTGCCCCTCTTCCAGTCCAGCTCTCTGCTGTGGCCTGGGAAGGCAGTGGAGGATGGCCCAAATGCTTGGGCCCCTGTACCCGCATGGGAGACTGGGAAGAAGCACCTGGCTCCTGGCTTTGGATCAGCGCAGTTCCGGTTGTTCCAGCAAATTGGGGAGTGAACCATTGGATGGAAGACCTCTCCCTCCCTCTCTCTCTCTCTCTGTAACTCTGACTTTCAGATAAATAAATAAAATCTTTTTTAAAAAAACAATATATATGTCTAGGGTTGGTGTTGTGGCACAGCAGGTTACGCTGTTTCTTGGGATGCCTTCATCCAGTATCCGAAGGCCAGTTCAAGCCCCAGCTACTCCATAATTCTGATGCAGCTTCCCGCTAACGCACCTAGCAGGCAGCAGGTGATGGCCCAAGTATTTGGGCCCCTGCCACCCATGTGGGAGACCAGGATGGAGGTCCTGACTCCTGGCCTAGCTTTGGCTATTGCAGGCATTTAGGGAATAGACTGTGGATCAACTATCTCTGTCTCATTCTCTGCCCCCACCCTTGTCACTCTGCCTTTAAAATAAAATAAGTATATATTTTTAAAATATATTTAAATTTATTTTAAAATAATATGTGTGTCATAGAGAAAATGCTCTTGTGGCTAGGTGATGTTGTCATTATGCAAGCATCATAGAATCAGTGTACACAGCTAAGATCACTATGGCGTTACCAGGCGATGAAATGCTATGGGACTGCCACCATAGGCTTCTTATAAAAAGATTAGATAATGATCTCATAAGGGAACATTTGAGCAGACTATTAAGAGGTGAATGACTTACACAACCCCAAGAAAAAATTATTTCATTTAATAAAATTTTTTTTTGACAGGCAGAGTTAGACAGAGAGAGAGACAGAGAGAAAGGTCTTCCATCCATTGGTTCACGCCCCCCCCCCCCCAATGGCCGCTACAGCCAGAGCTGTGCCTATCTGAAGCCAGGAGCCAGGCACTTCTCCTGGTCTCCCACGCGGGTGCAGAGGCTCCAGCACCTGGGCCTTCCTCTACTACCTTCCCGGACCACAGCTGAGAGCTGGACTGGAAGAGGAGCAACCAGGATTAGAACCGGCACCCATATGGGATGCCGGTGCCACAAGCGGAGGATTAACCAAGTGAGCCACAGCGCCAGCCCCAGTACAATATTTTCAAGTACATTATATACTCTCTCATTTTCTGAAACTGTGGGTTTTTCTTCTGCTGATGATTTTGGTTGGTCATCTTAGTACTGAAAATAGTTCTGAATATTGACTTTTACATTAACCATGATACCCACTGGCATGGTGAAGTGTTCTACCCACGGTGCTTTCTAAGTTGGGGTATCTGTGCTTTGATTTTTGGCTTCTCCTTTGTTCTAATCATTCTCACTGATGCTCTACCCCCAGACACTGGGCTCACTGCTCTGAATACCCTTGGCAATAGGAGTGGTATACACCAATGGAGCTACCCGTTTTACTTGAATTTCTGTGGACTTGAAAAGCAGCTTATTAGAATTGGGTTCCAAAAAGACTAAGTTCTGAGTGAGAGTCTGGTGATTCTCCATCAGTATTTATACAGTGCTTTCTGCATCAATGGGCCTCAGTAATTCACAACTTTAGGGTATTTCAAGCTGGGTTAAAATAGGTTTAATATATATCATATGTATTCCTACTGAAGTAATTTTGTGATAAATATTTTTAATATAGACTCAAAGTATTATACTTTATTCATTTAATTGATGGTAGATACTGCTAATTGTCAAGGAATTTTACCTTTTTATCTAATACTAGTGATTTCTTATGTATGTATAGTATCTGATAAATTTCCAAGCACTTTGATGTGTATTTGCTCAGACAGCAGCCACAGTACTGCTTAGACTCAAATTTCCAGTGAAACTGATCCTGGGAGTCAGGTTGTCTGGGTTTATATCCTACTGTGCCTCTCTTCTCTGTTCAGGAATACAAGAAATAGTACTCGTGTCAACGTGTGGAATGTTAATAGAGTGTGTAACACGTTAATACACAGTAAATATTAGCTGTCATTGTTTGTGCAATTTAATAGATAATGAAATTGACATTCAGAAAGGCCAAGTGGTTTGGCTAAGCTTATCCAGCTGGTATTGAGAATACCCACAGCTGGAATCCAGTTCCTGTTATTTTCTTGTAGAGTCCACTTGCTATGATGTCATGTACCTTAAAGAGTCCTATTTTCAACTACAGATTAATTTGAATATAGAAAGTAGTATTCATTTCTTTTAAAATGTTCTTAATTTGAAACTTTCAGTACTGAATCCTGACACACATTTCTTCCTTCTGATGTTAATTCAAATAATGGAGGTTTCATTTTTATGTCTATTCATCAAACTTAGCCATTTATTTCCTTGAAGTAGTCTAAAAATTTGAATCTCTGTTGAAGTGTTAATTATTTTCTTTTGAAATTGCTTAAATTCTTTTCTTTGTTTTTTCAACAGTCCACTGTGCCTTATTTTCATTAGGAATGAGAGTACCTATTTGGAGACTATTAAATTAAGACTTCAAGATTTCTGCTCTGTTACTTGACATTTGTTCTTGTTTTGCCCAGTCTGCTCCTTCGGAGGACTTTATTAATGAGTAAATGAATAGATTCTTATGGATGATGTGGTTGGACATCAGGCAGATTCCTAGGTATTATTTTCTTAGTGAATTCTGTGTGCTGGTGAACTTCACATCAGCCCCTGACAGCATCAGAGAACACACCAGAAGCTTTGTGACAAGGCCTCATGATTGATTCTACATTGCCATAGCTTTCAGGTGGTACCTTGAAAACTTGACTTCCCTGGGCTGCACAGGTATGGCTAGGACCTGTGTTTAATGTGTATTCATCAGAAACCTCCTTTCACCAGGCAGAGCTCTTTCCCTCACCTTGTCGTGTATGACCCACAATGCCATTTCCATGAGTTTGCAGCTTCCCCAAGGTTATACCTGACTGAGCTGTTGAGGAGCCTCAGGGTCCCGGTTTCTAGATATCTCTACTTCACCATCCGTATTAAGTGGGGCCATGGTATCAGACATCCCCATAGCCTCTGCCTCCACATCTTTCTGGATCTCCCTTCCTGCCATTCAGAAGCACAGTCTGCTTGCTCCCTGGGCCATTAAGAGCTTCCTTGTATCACATTCTGAATCTTCTCTCCCTTTGTTTGTGGTAAAGATTGGATTTGACTTTTAATCTGCAATAGGAATTTAAGGACTTTATAATATACTTTTTCTCTCACAAGGATATTGAGAATCTCTTTCAAGACTCTTTTCCCTCTAAAAATTCAAATAAGCCTAATTTGACTGTCAAACTGAATATTAACCTTAATATCGTAGAAGTTGTTCACTCCATTCTGGGTGGTAGGCCGCTTAACTCAGCTTGAATGGAAAGGCTGCAAGGCGTAGTATTTATAATTGAATAAAAACAAAAAAATGATATAAATTAATATTTTCATGATATTTCTGTTATAGATTTTTGATTTAGCGAGCAAGATTACATTAGCAACCTTTAATTCATCTTAAGTAATTAATTAGAACTTATTAGAAGCAAAAATCTGTACTGAAGAAGCAGCTCAAAAAATGAAATACTGAGAGTTCAAAGCAGAGAAAGACAACGGAACCATTAAATATGACTCCACTCTGCTTGATCCCTTTGATTTAGGAGCACATAGCCTTGCCTGTTTTGCTAACATTTGATAGGACCACAATATTATATGACAGAATATAAGAGAGTTTTAAATACACTTGTATAATTTTGATTGTTAGGCATCAATAAAAGATTATATTAAAACTTTTTAAAATACAAAGTAGAGAAATAATTAATGATGTGTTTTAATGAGTCCTATTTAAAACACATGGAAATAAAATGTCTTAAAAGAGTCATCTCTGGCTATTCTAAGGAAATCATCTTAGGTAGAAAATATAATTTTATAACAACTGTAGATAAATGAAATCTTCCCCGTGTGTGTGTGTGTGTGTGTGTGTGTGTGTGTTTATTAAAGGAAACAGAGAAGTTTAGATAGTTCCTCAGACTCCCTTCCAATTCAATGCGGTTGAAATTTAAAAACTTGCATAACGGCAAATAATCTATTGTCAATGAATATTATCAACAGTGGGTTGGCTGTCAAAATGTGGCTGATGCTTATGTTGATATACATAAAATTTTAACTTAGGTCATGTTAGGGTAAATTAGAAAGGCATCATTTTTATAAGAAACAGTATAATAATGAACTTAGAAGAGGTATTTGTATGCTTTATAATGGTATCCATTACTATACTTCTTATTTTCTTTTTGTACCTAAAACAAATACTAATTGCAGAAGAAGTAGGTGCTGTTATTTTTGCTATACCTTATTAGTAAGAGTATTAATTTAAGGATATGTATTCTATGACGAATGACATTAATTAGTAACTTGTTTTAAAATTGTCTTTTGATAAGATAAAGGAAAATACCTCTCAGAAGATCATGTGAATTACTCCCTATCTCTTTAAGGCCAAGTAATTATATTCTATAATGTAATTTTTTTTTGTTAGATGGACAGAGCAAAGATAAAAGAGGACTGTAGAGATAACAGCATACTTCACAGCTGACTGAAGCAGGTGTTAGAAATGCAGATGAAGAGCACTGACTAAAGACCATACAAATTTGAAGTGAAAATGCCACTGGTCGGCGTGCAGTGTTCTGCACATATGAAGTTTCAGGTAGTTAAATTATTCATGTTATTGTGTGAACTAGTGCAGGAGTTAGGGAAAAGGTGCCTTTTACATTTAAACTGTTTCTTCCCTTCTTCCTTTTATCTGCACTTGACAAGCAAAACGAACTTCGTTTTGTAAGTTTTATTCCAGCAAGTGAATGACTTACATCTCTCTATATAAGAAAGTACACTTAGAAATAGATTACTCATAGGATTAAGTGACAATTTAAGACAATAGAAACCAGGAATTATTTTCCTTTTTTGCTTCTGTTGTAATGAAGGCCAGTAAAGACAAATAAATGTGAAACCATCATTGCTGTCACCCTTACCATGAAACATTTCTCAAGTGTCCATATTTACATCTTTTTAAAAATGTTTAATACGTAATTTTAAAGCAGGGTTACATTTTTAAGAGAAATGTCAATTCCTGGAATTATTTATTCTCTCCTTTTACCCTTTGCTTTTTTTCTCTTATGGGCTGGCTGATCATGCTACAATGCATTATGCTACTCTGTGTAGGTTGACCGCAGGATCAAAACACCTGCTTTTGGTAAACACAGATCTCTTTAACACACACAACGAAGTCTGACACATATCTGAGAGCACACCATAAATACTTAATCCTCTTTTTAAAGGTGAAGAAGCTATAAACAAAATATACCATTAAAATATTCTTTTATCTCTGTTGAGATTCAAAGTTAAGGAACTACTGAAATGTCGACTCAGTCTGTAAGAATGTAGAGGCTTAAAATGCCTTTACTTTGGCTCCTAGGACAAAGGGACTGCAAGTCCAACAGGTTTGCCTTAGAATCTGTTCCCACCCTTGACAAACTGTGTGACTTGGAGCCAGTTGACACCTCTTGATCCCAGTTTCTCTAAATGCAAAATGAGGATCACAGTAGACCTGCGTCAGTGGGTTGTTAAGAGTCCAAACACACAGCAGTTGGCTTTGTAGTTAGAGATTTGGGGGAGATTTTTGAGGTATACTGACTTTAATTGGCAGCTTGGTCAATGTTAGACTTCAGATCAAAATATCTTGGTTCACAATTTTTCACACAATACTTAGCATCACAAAGCCATAGCATCTTACTAAATTCACTTTGTGAAAAGTTTGTTCTTTGATTTTACTTTTTATGATTATTCCCTTAAGTCCTGTGAGCTTCTTGAGATAAAGATCTATGTGCTATGTATCATTTGCTATTCTTGCTTGGTGACATGTGATTGTTTGAATATTGACTCAGGTTACAAATGAAAATATTCTAAATCACACTTCCATATACAGATTTTTTTTTTTTTTGACAGGCAGAGTTAGTGAGAGAGAGAGACAGAGAGAAAGGTCTTCCTTTCTGTTGGTTCATCCCCCAAATGGCCGCTACGGCCTGCGTGCTGCGCTGATCTGAAGCCAGGAGCCAGGCGCTTCCCCCTGGTCTCCCATGTGGGTGCAGGGCCCAAGCACTTGGGCCATCTTCCACTGTATTCCCGGGGCCACAGCAGAGAGCTGGCCTGAAAGAGGAGCAACCAGGACAGAATCCAGCGCCCCAACTGGGATCAGAACCCGGAGTGCCGGCGCCGCAGGTGGAGGACGAGCCTAGTGAGCCGCAGCGCCGGCCCCATATACAGATTTTAAAAGAGTAATTTTTCATCCATCTTATTTATTGTTGTCATGTTTTAAATAGTACATAGGAACATTGTATAAATCAATAAAACATGCAAATAAGAATGAACACTCATTTTTCAGTGTATTCTACCCTTTTGAACTTAGAGTTTTTTATCTGTTAAATTTTCCCATTATTTTGTCATTAAAAAAACTGTAAAGGTAATAGTCATACACACAAAAAGAATAACTTGGATCATTTTCTGAGACTGTTCGTATTAATTTTAGGACTATAGTCAAGTCACCTCAGTTATTTAGCTTCTATTTCACATCTTTATTGTGGGATAATACAATAATTCATATCTAACCCTGCTGAATTATTACAAGAAACAGATGAGGGGCCGGCGCTGTGAGGCAGTGGGTTAAAGCCTTGGCCTGCAGTGTCAGCCTCCCATATAGATGGCCGCTCCACTTCTGATGCAGCTGTCTGCTATGGCCTGGGAAAGCAGTAGAGGATGACCCAAGTGCTTGGGCCTTTGCACCCACATGGAAGACCTGGAAGAAACTCCTGGTTCCTGGCTTCGGATCAGCTCGGCTCTGGCTGTTGTGGCCATTTGGGGAGTGAGCCAGTGGATGGAAGACCTCTCTCTCTCTCTGACTCTACCTGTCTCTGTAACTCTTTCAAATAAATAAAAAAAATCTAAAAAAAGAAAAAGAAACAGATAATATTGTGTATGTGAGATTCTTTGTAACTCCAAATTGTTCTTAAGAGTTAAGTAAATTATTATCATGTGCAGTTTATCATTATCAGTTTTATCATATGTGCCCTCCTTCCCACAGGAAGGCACAATTATGCTATGAAATGTTAAGATTAACTGCTAATCTCTGCAGCAAACAGTATCACTTTTTATGATACTTTACTAGTACATTAAGTCTGGTGATTTGATACCTAATGTAGATATGAAATTATAGTCTTGAACATATTATACACACATATATATATATATCATATGTCATATATGTGTGTGTGTATGTGTATATGAACAGTACCCTTCAGTACAGGATCATCTCTGCCATAGATATTTATAGTTTTAAAAAGTAAATAGTATATAGCATTGATCTAGGCAATGAATTTATTAACTTTTAATCCAGGTATTGTGTGCAAACAAGAATAGAATATATAGAAATATATAGAATATATTTGGCAGAGAGGGAATGAACATACATTCACACACAAGTGTAGGCTGCCCTAGACAGAGAACTATATAACATTAATGAGCCAAAGAGTTGTCTATAAACTGGGGGGGGGGGGGGACTGAAGACAGTCCCTGCAATGAGGAAGGTCTGCCCATATACAGGGAGGCCTGAGAGTAGCAACTTTCATAGGAGTGCTAAAAAGACTGGCGCAGTATGTTCAAGCGAGGTCCACCGCAGAAAGAGAGCACCCTTCCACCTGCCACCTCCTTCTGTCTCCTGTGTGCTGTGGTCCTGCATGTAACAGATGCATCACAGGAAAGCAGGTAGAGAGGTACAAAGCGGGTGAGGCTATGAGGCTTGTGACTTCCAGCTCTTCAGACCCAACTAGTTGCCTGCCTGTGTTTCCCACATCACGATGATTGCTCTAGTTCTTGGGTTCCTGACTAGCTAACACAGCATGAATGAACCCAGCATAGCATAACTGATTTATCATCAGTTCACAAACATGCTATTTCCCCATTTTAAAATAAAGCTACAGGAAGTGGGCATATAGCATAGCAGCCTATGTCCCACATTGAGTCCCTGCATTGGATTCCCACCTCCGGCTTCTGTCCCCAGCTTCCTGTCAGTGCAGACCCTGGGAGACTGTGGGGATGACTTAAGTAATTTTGAATGTGGGAGACCTAGATCGTGGTCCTGGCTCTGCCTCTTATATAAAAAAATAAACATTTTAAATTAAATTAATGTATAATTCTCATGTTAAAATTCATTCTTGTTTCAATGTACAACATTGGAAGTTGAATTTTTTCTTTTTTTAATTTGAAAGAGAGGGAGGGAGAGGGAGGGAGAGAGAGAGAGAGAGTAAAACATTAGATAATCTGGGGAGAATGGGATGGCTTAGATATCCTATAAAGTTGAGAATTACGGATGCTTCTGAGAAAAAAAAAGTTCACTTAAAATCTCCCACCCACTAGTGTGCATCAGTCAAATTTCAATAATATGGATATTTTTATCCCAATTCATAAGAAAATGGGAAGTAAGCAATTTCCAATCTTGGCCCTAGTGTTCAACAATATAATCAGGTCCTAAGTTCTTGCCATATCTCTACTGTTTCCTTTTATAAGTAAGAGCCAGCATAATTTCCCTAATATCTCATTGACCAGAACTGGATCACAGGGTTGCTATGAGCTCTAAGGAAAGGAGCGGAACGGGGTATGTATGCAAGGGAATGGGATTCGGCTTAGAACCGTGCTTCCCTCCTTGGCACACATGGGCATTCACATTTATTGAACACAGAAGGAGGGAGGGAAGCAGAAAGCTGCTGCTACTCCTGGCACATCCCTCTGCTCTGAGGTTGAAGGAGAAGCCATGCCTGGGTATCCATCATGCCTTTGAGGCACATGCTGGTTAGACATGTGAAAGGTTTAATCCAATGATGAGTCATATCCTAGACTCAGCTTCTTCTTGCCCCCAGAGAAATCAAGTTCTGTTGGCACAAAAAAGATGGCAATGACTATTAGATAGGCAATTAATAGAGGCTGGTACACTAACTGTTTGCTTAAAAATTTTTATTTGATTGTAGAATATGCTGTATTTGGATTTGAATAAATATGTATCTGTCTCAGAAGTCACTTTTTCACCCTTTAATAATGCAGCAACCTGTTTGTGGGAACAATGGGAAACTGGTGCTGAACAAGCATAAAAGTTTTAGATATAAATGAAGACGTTTTAGAGATATACCACACAATCTAATACCTGCAGTTGACAACATGCTATTGTACATCTCAAGATTTGTTAAAGAGATCTCATGTTAAGTGTTCTTACCACAAAAACAAAAAGCAGCGAAGGGGCACAGGAAACACCTGGGCATTGTATCCATCTATTAGCTTGATTTTGAGTTTGGTGTCACCCGTGCTTGCATGTGTCCAAACTCAACAAAACAGATGCATGAATTATGTGCAGTCCTTTGTGTATCAGCTAGACCTCAACAAAGCTGTTTCAGAAGTAGTGTTCCTATCCTGTGAGAGAGGGCTGGAGCTGTAAAGTTTACTGCTTATCTCATGTATGCTTTCCACCTCACTTGTGACAGCCTGACTCCTACCTACACTGAAGCTTCCTGGCATGCTGCAAATGTGGAGTGAGGGGGAGCTTTGTTTATGAGACCTGAATCATGTCTCAAAGTCATCAGAAAGGATAGTGGGAGCCAGGCATTGAGCACATAGGTAGTAGTTGATTTCCTGTTTGTCAAATTGCCAGGAGCTCTCTGGCAAATCATTAAGTTTCCCGCAGTGTTCACCAGGATATCACATTCCTTGGGAGTTATCCATACCAGAGAGTGGAGAAGCCTCACCCTGCAAACTGTCCATGAGATTTAAGCATAAGTTTATTTTGGTGCAAGGACAATCTGAAATCTATGGTTAGTTTTTTTTCATAATAGGCATTTTCCGTGAACTTTCTGAAGACCCTGCATAGATGGATTGCCTAAGGTAAAAACAGATTAGTTCATATATTAGATGTTTAGTGATGACCTTAAAAGCAAAATAAGCAAAGCAAAACTTTATCTAGAGGAGACGTTCCTTAGCCCAGAGGCTCAGAATCCTAATAACTTCTGAGAATTTATATTCAAAATTTGTTCTGCATTTGTGTATGAGTTTTTCTAGAGAGAAAGGCTATAGCTTTCATCTAATTTTCAAAGATTCAGAACTGTGAATCTATTGAATGTTTAATTAACCAAGACTTGAAGCAGTTTTCTAGGTCTTATAAATTATTTTAAGAGAACTGCAGCTGTTAATTGTCCTTTACCCTGATAATCTGTTTAAGCAACAGCCTCCCTTTGTTGTACAAGGTATTCTACAGTATACACACCACACACAAATAGTTGCATGGAAAAAAAGATAGTTTTCTCCAAAATATTCATCAGCCGTGAGTTCACAAACTCAGTTTTTTCTCTTGAAGGGAGTATAATTTGTTCAATGGAATCAGCATTGTTTTGTAAATAACATTTCTTAAGAGATATAAAACTCTTCCTTGCCTCTATGATTATGTAAAATTAAGTTAAAGTATTCAAATGCTTGATCACTTACTAGTCCTTCCAATGTTTGATTATCCAAGGTATTCACATATCTACCTAGTTAGGTTTTTAATCATAACAAAATAGAGATAGCTAGATGATAAAAAGAACAATTTCCAATTCTTCATTGCCTTCCAATTTACTGCAGTCCTTTAGATGTGTGTGTTTAAATAATTTCACCCCATGGATGAAGCTGACAGCATTTTCGAAATTGATTTTCTATCTGTAATATTCCAACCATATTTCAAACCTCATTAAAGCCCTTTTCATCATTTCTCCGACTCCATTAGTTATGGCAGCATCTCAAAATCTGGTTTTCTCTGTAAATTTCATTATTGTGGTTACCAATTCATTATAAAATGATCATAGAAGTAGGAGGGAGAGAGGAGGAATTGACATATGAGAACAAAGTGAAAGATTAACACTCTTAGGCCTGGAAAGTGGAAATCTATCAAAGCACGAATGGCATGGATAAGGGGAACACAGATGCAGATGGCAGACCTGGAAATAAAAAGCTGAAGGAGCTTCGTAAGCTCTGTTGACGATGACAGAGAAGTAATTTTAAAAAGCTCTGAGTACATTTATTTCAGAACCAATGGGAAGCTAAGATATGGCAGATCTTTTTGTAAATTCTGAATAGGGAAGTATTGTCATGATAAACCTGATGATGAGGATGATCCTTATTGCATTGTGAAGGCCATTCTTCAGTGATGGATTTCTGCACTAGTTAGGCAACATGGGGTCTGACCTGGGAGGATAATCCCTCTGCTGTTCTCGGGTAAAGAGGTCCAGCAGGCCCAGTAATGAGCAAAACCACTGCAGTGCACATCACGGAAGGCTCATTTGCAGTTTATGCTTATGTGGTATGTCAGTGAGTTCATCCTCTGTAAACAAAGTACTTTTAATCCGAAGTTCACAGAGCAGAGTAGTAGCATAAAGAAAAGAATGCTTCCATTTTTCATACATGAGCCATCCCTGCAAATCAAGAAGAGACAAATACATACCCCCCAATAGAAAAAATGAGGAAGGATCTTATACTGGCCATTCACAGCAAAACAACCACAGATATGTCACAAACCCATGAAAAGACATGCAAGTGTCTTGATAATCCCATCAGTGCAAATAAAAATATTTTCCTTCTACAAAATGAGCAAAGTTTAAGATTCACCAAGACCTATTATTGGTAAGAATGGAAAGACAGAACTATATGCTGTTAGTGGGTATGTAAAATGTATTATCTTTCTAATTGATACTGTAGTAATAGGAATTAAAATTGCAAAATAGTAACAGCAGTAATAACAATCTACAAGGCTACATGGACTTAGTGCTATGTTAAACATTGTGCATGTATTAGATTTTTCCTCCTAATGACTATTACTACTCCTATATAAAAAATTAGGAAACCAGGAGTCACAGAGTTTTTCTCTCCTTAAGATTACATGGCTACTAAGTAGTGAAACCAGGTTTTGAATTGCCTTTCTAATTCTAGATTTCATGATGATAATCACACAACCAAAAACCATTAATCTGACATCTGACTTCCCTAAAGCAGTGGCAGGCTGAATTAAGTGGAATATCTTCAAGGGGGAAGAAGTGGGGAAATGACTCCCAGCCTAGAGAAATACTCCCAGGTAGATGGGCATTCAGGTGAGGGTGAGCTCTTTCTCTCCTCTTCCTGCTGAATCCCTACCCCACCCCCTCATTTCTTTTCGTTCCTTATCTTTTCTTTCAAGGTATATTTTGGTTCTTCTCCTTCCCCTTAAAGGAGCCAGGGTTGGGGCAGATTCTGGGGTCAAGGCTGAGAAGGTTGTCAGGACCAAGGTGGGTGTTGGGCCCAGGAGGTGGTTGGGGCTGAGCAGGTGACTGGGCTTGGGTCCAGGGGGTTGGGAAAAACCAAGGCACTTGGCACTAACAGGGCCAGGAGGAATGAGGAAATAAATTGAGGGTAGTGGGAGCCTGATTTCTTACTACTGGAATAGGAAGTTACAAATATCAGAAGAATAAGTCCTGTAGTACTGGACTGAAGTTGGAGGTATCAATATGGTTCCATGTTTTAAAAATACACGTTTCAGTACCTAGATAGAGAGCAGACACAGGTATGTGTATGTGTGTGTGTTCACATATACATATCCTTTCTACCTGTGTCTACCAAAAGGGGCTAAAATCAGTTTCATCCCGGTAACAATATGCTACCCAACACAGCAGGTCTTGCTTTCTAAGTGCTGTTCCCTATGTATGGCATTTCATGTCTACAGGTCACTCCTGACTAACTCTGAAATTAGTAATTGTGTGTGTATGTGTATATGTATTTATACTTCCTCTGTGATGGTTGTATAAATGTAAATGTTTATCCCATTAGCTTAGTTGACATTTGCAAACAAAAATACTGATTCGAAACACCCCAGTATACAAATAAATTACACTTCTATATTATTTTTATTATTTTACACAACTTCTCCTCATTTTGATATACTTAAGCCTACATACCCACAGTCTATTATACCGGGAAGAGAAAGGTATTGAGTCACACACACTGGAGTTTCTTCCTCAATGCTCCAACTGTGCAACGTTGTGAATTCGGGCAAAATTCTTAGGCCTGTTTGTCTCAGTCTCCTTCTGCATGGGTGAGGTAGTATTGTTCAGGAGTGGATGTGGAAACAGGAGAGGCCTCAGCAGAGCTGCTGGCATGCAGAAGCGCTGCGGCATTACCTTCCCTCACTTTGTTCTTTCTTTCTTCCTTCTCAAACCAA